CAACTATTACAGGACAAATAAAAACAGCTGGCTTCTACTAGTCTCCTGGTCACAACCAGCTTGCAGCTGCCCTCAGGTATCCCACAACAATACAGGCTCAAGAAGATATTTATGGCTACATTTCATAAATGATATTAAGAGCAAGGGGATATCAAAAAGATAATCCCAAGAGCTCTGTGGAAAGGCTGGGTTATTGGTGCTAACACTGCTGGTTAACACAGATGCCCAGATAGTAGGGGCTAGAAAGAGCTGCTGTGCAGCACTGCAGCATTAGTGTCCCAGAGTCGGGAATAATCCACTGCAGGGGTAACTCTGCATCTACTCACATGCATGAGCCAACAGAACAGGATTATAAAATGGTTATAACAACTAATACCAAAGCTGTATTATGTATTTTGCAAGACTCTTCCAATAATATACTTGTACTCTGTTTAGGTCCCTCACTGGATCAAACTATGACATGTAATATACACAAATATCTATGTAAATTATTTTAATCTATTTTCAGATAAAAGAAAACTTTGCACAAACATAGTAGAGGGATATAACCATACAAAAAAAAGTATTTTTATGGTGCAAAAGCATTTTAAATAACCAACAAGGGGTCCTGGGTGTGTGTTTTGGTTGGTTTTGTTGGTTTATTTGGTTTGGGGTTTGGGGGTGTTTTTTAATAATAAACTGACACAAAAAAATTAGTAAAATTTAAAATACTCCTTACAACATTTGCTGACCTTCCAAGCCACAGTACTCTAAGTAATCCCAGGTCAATACACGCACTCAGAATCACATCAACTTTTGTTATTTGCATTCTTCTTGTATTACATTGTATTAACAACTGAAGCTTGTATCAAACTTCCTTTGGCAGAATCATTCTAAGTCATTGTCATGGATCCCTGTCCAAATACAATTCTCAGCATTGATTGCAACACCCCTGATTTAACATCACAGACATAAGCATTTTAGAAGAGGACATGGGGCCATTCAGATATGTAAGAGCAAATGGTGCCTATTCTCTCAGAGATCACATCAGATTTCAAGGAAAAAACTATGAAGCAATGAACAAACAAATGAAGCAGGAGCTGCAAACAGACCTGGCCATCCAAGGACCTAATGGTTAAACCAAGTCCTTCTGCAGGAAAAGTGGAGCTGATAAGGATCTTTAAAACTTCACTGTCATAATGTTGCTCTGACGAAAACCTTCCATTTAGTTTCAGGTTCTAAAACTTTTGATATTGTTGGTGTTCACTCTCTATATTTACATACTCATTTACATTAGACTTTATCAAGACTTCAGCTGAGCCCTGTAATTGTTAAATATATACAAACTAAAATAATGTTAAAACACAACTAAACACAAAGTCATATGGCTGCCAAAAAATACTAAAAAGACTTTTCCCACAAGGGTAGTAACTCGTAATAAATGTGATTTGAATAAAAGGTCAAATTTGAAAGCTTGTGGGAAAAAACCCTACAGTTGACACTATGTGATTTAAGGAGCACTCAGAGCCCAGAAGGCCAGCCCTGTTCTGGGCTGCATCAAAAGTGTGGTCAGAAGGGTTAATGAGGGGATTCTGCCCCTCTATTCTGCCCTTGTGAGACTCTACCTGGAGCACTGTATCCAGTTCTGGGGTCCCCCGCACAGGAAGGATGTGGACCTAGTAGAACAGGACTGGAGGGCATAAAGATGCTCCAGTGCTCTGGTCACCTCTTCTGTGAAAACTGAGAGAACTGGGACTCTTCAGCCTGGAGAAGACAAGACTTCGAGAAGACCTTATAGCAGCCGTGTGGTAATCAAAAGAGTCTTTTAAAAAAGAACAGTGGCTAGTGATTGGATAAGTGGCAGTGGTTTTTAACTGAGAGAGGGCAGATTTAAATTAAAAGTTAGGAAGAAATTCTTCACTGTGAGGGTGGTGAGGCACTGGAACAGGATGTCCAGAGAAGTTGTAGATGCCCAGTCACTGGAAGTGTTGAAGGCCAGCCTGGATGAGACCCTGAGCAACCTGTTCTAGTGGATGGCATCACTGCCCATGGCAGGGGGTTAGAACTAGATGATTTTTAAGGCTCCTTCCAACCCTCTCTATTCTATGATTCCTCCACTAAGGTCTTTGGACATCAGCAAGTAAAAAAATACATCTATAATTTTCAATTAGTTATATTTTCTGAACAGAATTGGTTTCAGCAATGCTCTTTTGATATAAAGAAACAGTCTAAATATTGAAATTGGTATTAAAACCACTTAAAAGTATTAGCTATTAATTAATCCTAATAATTTTATCAGTATTAAGCCAAATGGGAGAATATAGTAATATTTAAAAGAAAATTTGTTCCTTCATGCTGAAAGTCCTTAGTACATACATAAGAAAAGAACTCAAACTGAGAGTTTAAATAAAAAAAAAAAGAAGAGAAAGTATTAATGCATTAAATTAAGGTGCTTAAGAGGGACTCGTATTTAACAGGGTTGAATATACCACAACTTCTGCACCCAAGTTATTAAGTATGATTCCTTCCCTGCTCTGCTTAAAACCAAAAAACCCTACCCCACTTGACATGGGACTAGCTAAGTCTTCCCAGGACTCAAAAATATTGGCCTGTAGTCAGTACATCCTCTGACACTGAAGCCAAATGAATTCCCCAGAGATTCGAAGTCACTAACGATGGAAAACTTTATCTGGACATCTGAACGTAAACACTTCTGTTATTTCTCACAATTTAAAAGTACAATAAGTTAGGAAGAAGGAAAAAAATATTGATCCAACTTAGCAGGAGATCTATTTATTTACACCTATCAGCTCTTCAGAACAAAGTAAAATGCTGAATACAAAGATGACAGGAGGTTCTGCAGACAAGTCACTACATAACAAACCACACCTTCTCAGAAAGCAGCCCTAGCTACCTGTTGGGGACTTCCCAAAGTCAGTAACATTGCTTAACCACAACGCTTCCCATGGAGACTGTGAAGACTGAAAGAAAACACCCAAAGCATGACAGTTTTACTCCACATAACACCATCTCGGATTCCTCCAGCTCCTGGCTTCTACTCCAAATATGTAACATATCTTTTAACATCTAAACCTAATGCTTGCATTTCAAAAGAGATGTTAACAGGAAGCTGATGCACACACACACACAAGCAGTACCCACTGTGCCTGTGAAATAACTTTTATTCTGTGAAGGTCTGACTGCCAGGCACAGCTCTGCAAACAGTGCCAGTAGTAAGAAACACAGAATGCTCCCTGACTCTTTCAAACTATCCCATACCAAAAAATAAGACAGGCTTGATATGCAAAAACAAAGAAAAAATAAGAGAAAAGAGACTACGTTACATCAAGCCAGGAGCTGAAACAAAAACTTAACCCAAAAAACCTAAATTTCAGCAAGGGGGATGGAAATTAGAACCAGAACTTGCATTTGGCTTTTCTGGCTATAATGAATCAAGCCAAAAGCCCATATCCAAACACACCTCTTCTCTAGGAGTTTGAAATCTGGACTCAAGTTTTGCAGCCTGGCTTCCTCTGTACTCACTGGTGAATGCATCACTGCTGCCAGAGAGAAACAGCACCTGACAAGGGACTACACTTTCACACAGGAACAATTAAGATGCATCCACAGTAATATGGCTAATTGCCCACAGTAAGCTTGAATGAAAACAGATAACAACAATGCAACCACATGTTGAAGCTAAGAACCTTATGTGCTCCAATTCCTCGATGGCTGCACGCTGGAGAAAAGAAAAAAAAGTTACAAGAAAATTCTTTTTATAAAACCTCAATCCGGGAAACTTATCAAATCTTGTCTTGCTGCACTAGTCTGTTTTGCCAAATATACATCCACACCTAACAAGAACAATCTTCTCCAAGCTGTTCTTAATTTCACTCACATTTATAAAATCAGTTTAGAGCTTGCATCATCTCTGTTCCTTCTCTAACACTTAACACGTATGCTTGCTCTACTGTTCTTCCTCAAGTCAATGGTAGTAGAGGAGAAACCATTCCTGCACAAAGAAGCCTAGAGATCATTCTCAATGAGAGGTATTTGTGGAATTCTGTAGGTTGCTTACACTCAGTTTAAATTCTGAGAAATGCCATTTCATAACATATTCTGGGTGCAGGGGAAAAAGTTTAGCTGTATTTAAAGCCTGAATCCTCCTAAAGTCACAGTAGAAATGGCACAAAACTTTGACTTTCTCCTCCTCCTCTTAAGGAAGACACCCATATTTCAAGGCTTCAGCTATGATCTCTTGTAGCAAGATAAATTAAACATATTATAACTGTTGAATCTACTACGTAGAAGCTGAAAACAACTCTGGCACAGACATACAGGACTTTATTATTTTTAAAACCAGCCTCCATAGAATTTGTCACACTGTCACCAGGACATGAGCATTAGCTTTGCCACTGACACTCAGTGAAACATTCTGCTCTGTAGAATGCTAGAGAACATATTAACACCATGCCAGACCATCAGCCTCTGTTCATGCAACCTTAAAGCTCTTGACATGCACCTTATGACTTCCATTAGACTTCTTGTTACAACATTGTTTTAACCAGGGTTTTTAAGACACTGACACTGTTATAATGACAAATATACAGCCAAGACTGCAAGATGTGAAGTAATAAACTTTACATGCTATTAAAATATAGCAGTTAGCTCTGTCAGCCAACAATTCTTCAGGTCCCATTCCCCATCCAGAGCACAGTCTTTTTCAGGTGCACACAAAGGCTGGGACAAGACAGGTAATTGAAGATTCTTCAAAGCACCACCCAACCATCTGACTTCACTGTCAAATACTATACTTCCCTGTGATGTTTAACATGCTTTAAGGGTAATGTAGCTAATACAACCTAATTTCAGCATGCAACAAACAAAACAATAAAATCAATTTATTTGCCATTGTCGTCAATTTGAAACACAGTCAAGTCTGATTCATATTCCCCAGATTTGCTTCTTGGAAATCGATTCTGTTTATTTGTTCTCTTTTAGACACGTGGAACTTAACTTACCAATGCAGGCATGGACTCTCACTGATAGCTGGGTTCTCAGAATTATGCTGTGCTTCTTGCCCCTCCTAAAAAGAGAAGAAAAGTATGTAAAGGTATAGTGAGGAAGAAGAGGAAAATAAACAAGTCCACTTAAGCCTAGGGAAAAAAGGGTGGGAGGGAAGGGAAGACACTAGAAATTTCGTCTTTGTTTCTCATAATCAACTTCCATTTTAATTTGCAATAAATTAGTTTTCCTTGCCAAGACTGTTTTGTCTATGATAGCAATGGTTAAGTGATCTCTCCATCTTTATCTCAAACAGCAAGTTTTTTTACCTTATTTCCCCTCCCTTCTGCTGGCGACAGGGAACAAGAGAGCAGCTGGGCTGGCATCTGGACACTCACCAAGGACAGCCCACAACAATGAAAACTGTATTAGGGAAGTATCAAGTGATGACTGTACATTTTAGTTTTCACAGAAATACTTTAATGCTAAGTATAATTAAGCATTAAAAGAAAATCTGAGGTTAAACAAGAGGTTGTTGACACTTTCACAGATCTGCCTGCTTATGTAGCCTAATGGGTTTTTAAAGCACAAAAGTAGCTGTGTGTTTTTCATTCAAAGAGGCAAAACTGATGTTCTTCACTCTGACTCTCAATTCCATATTGGGCTAAAATGCAATGACTATTTAAATTAGCTGCTAAATACCTCATTTGGTTTTCAGTCAAATTATCATTAGTTGCATTTCCTCAACCTGGACAAGAGCACAGTTCTTGATTTCTTGGCTCTACACCTGCAAACTGGCATGAGGGCATCAATAACACCTTTTCTCTGCACCCAAACCTGCTCACCTGATGGAAGGGGGGAGGGTAAGAAAAGACAGATATCTTTTATGCTTGTATAGAAGCATATTCTCCCTCTTTTCTCTAAAACTAAAAATGCAGTTCCTGGACAATTGTCTCTAGGTGGCCCAGGTGACCTCAAGAGGTCTCTTCCTACCTCACACTCTGTGATTCAGTGAATTTATTGTGGGAAACCACACATGAAAGCACACTGTTTTTAGAACACAATCAGATGCAGCTTAGTTTGTGTCATACAAACCATAACTACATACAAGTTAGAGTACAAACCAGCATTATCTTTCTCAGTTACATACTTTGCAACTCTGCTGAAAGGCTTCAGGGCCAAACCCTTTATACAGACACCCAGCAGAATCCTCTACTGTCTATAACTTAAAACAGTTTTCTAGTAACAAAAAAAAGTACTTCCCTGCCTTACTGTCTTCCTGTCCACAGTTATTCTGCAGAACAATTTTTTTTTAAATTATTTTCATTCATCAAGCAAAAAGTTTCATATTACTTCTCTGAAAGATCTGCAGGGGAAGAAAGGAAAAGGAAGTAGTAACAAGCATTTTCAGAAAAATATTGTCCCTAGGAAAATATAAGAGAAAATAAAAAAATAAGGACCTGAAAAAAGTGGTTAATGTTGACCTGTGTACTTGCTAATAGAGGACTTAGTTCCATTGCAGAATGCAACATTTCTCTATAGATTAAAAAAAAAACCAAAATGTTTAACAGAGTTGTTGTTTTTTTTTTAAAAAAAAAACAAACCCAAAAACCTTTAATCAAAATTACTCTTTAATGGGTCCACTTGGACATCATTAGGACAAAGTGGGCAAAGTGTGACCATTCTCTTAAAAACTTGACGTGCCAATCAGAAAATGCTACTGCCAACACAAAAGCAGACTGTAGTTTGGACTGTGAAATTCCCTGGAGCAGTTCCAGATTTAAGACTGCCTTCTCTGTCCACCTAAACTCCTCCTGTTGTTCTGGCTGGACACAACCTTTGCCTGCATTCATATTCTGCAGATTTTTAACAGCTGTTCCTCACCCCAGGAGTGCCAGGACTCATCCGGAATATTTAATTTGCCAAGTCAGTAAAGAATTTTTGACCAAAACTCCTGCCCTTCCCAACATCTGATTCTGTACAGAAACTGTTTCTCTTGATCTCCCTTCCTTGATGGACTTATTGATAGACCTGACATACACAAATTCTAAAAAAATTAAAAAATGGAAGAATTGAGTAAAGATTGTTTATTTCAGAATTTTAAAAGGATAGCCCAGAGTTAGCAAAGGAAAAGGAAGCCTATATAATCAGACATCTTATTCTTCCCATCCCGAAAATCTACTCAACTAAAAGAAACTGCTAATTTAACAAATAATGGACATTACTATCATAGCACTCTCTAGTGTTTTAGCAGTCTATAGGGTACAATGACTTCACCAGCTTTCGGATGAATTCTACAGGTCTGTGGTAATTTGCTGAAAGAACAGACAACAGGTACTGCCCAGCTATCAGAGAGTAAATAAACACAAGGACCTGAGAAATCACCAGCATTTTAAAGCCTGTAGAGATTCAGGCCCACTGCAATTTAATAGTTTCCTCCTCTTTTCTAAAAATCTAATGCACAATGTTTCTTAATAGAAACAAGACCTTTTTTATTGGTAGTTCTCCAAGCTTCAACAGTGGTGCTACTTCCTTCTCCACCTCACCTCCTTACAAAGACCCCTGAAAATTATAAGCAAAACTCAGAGCAAGCTCTCTTCTACTGGCTGCTCTACGCTGTTGTTCCAACTGTAATACCTCCCAGGACAGAAAATTCTCACACACACAAACATTGATTTTTATCTGCCACTGGTTGCATTGGCAATTTTTCCAGCCTAGCAAAATCAATATGATTCAAGCCCCAGAAATCACAAAGATGAAGACTCATTTACAATGGTGCATTCCCCCCCTTCCCCCCAGGCCACATCATGATCATCACAACAGAGGCATTTCATGGGGTTCAGGCATACTAGATTTACCCCACAGCAGCTAATTATAATAAGATCAGTCACATGTAAAAAATTAGAAACTATGCAATTTCCTGATTAACACTTTTTACTATCATGCAATATAAATAACACTTTTGCAAAATTAAGATCACCTATGAAAATTATTACATCCATGAGTCTACACATACCAGTTTCCTGGAAAGCATATTACAATAATAAATGCCAAAAAAAAAAAAAAAAGGTAACTTGAAATCCACCCATGATTTCACAGACTCATGAACTACTGGCCAAACAGCATTAAAAAACATGCCTGTAGGCAAGCTTGTGATAGCAGGTCAGGGAAGGGGGAGGTGCCACAGGACAGACAGGCCATTTGTAGTAAAAATGTAATAGGTTGAAAAATACACTGCAGAAACGAATATTTCCAACAAACAAGATTCATTTATTAAAAACAAAACTTAGACATGTAACAAAATTTGCAATCTACTCTTAACTAAGGTCTGTATTTTTAATATGACTTTTTTAAAAAAATATGTTTCAGTGAGTGCAACTGGCTACAATTTATTTTTTAAAAAATCCAAGAAGCATTTAATAGAGTTAATTTAATCGCTGCAATTTAACAGTAGACGAGTAGGCAAATTTCACATATTGTGCTGGCATAGCATTCTTTTGATCTCTTTTGAGATCAGAACCATTATTGCCATAAAATTAACTTCTAGTCTTTGGAATTACCAAGACACAAAATGTTTTCTATACTCAGCTTCTCTAGTAAATTGAAGTAAATAAACATATGCCAACAACTCACTGAGTGCCTGTCTTACATAACACAAATGTTTTATTTTGTCATTGTTTATGTACCACACTACAAATAGCTTCACTAAATTCAACTGCCACTTGAATGGCATTTTGAAAATAGTTCCTCAACCGGTTGTCTTAAACAGTTGCTTGTTTTGAAGTAAAGCCTTTGTCTGAACCAAGCAAACCCTTGACCAGAAAAAAAATACCCAGAATGTTGTTAGGGGTACAGAGGGGAAAAAGTGTTAATAAACAAAATAATAATAATTTAACCCCAAAACCACACATGAAAAAAAAACAATACACAGTTTTCCTCTTAATGCTTCAAGGAAACTTTGAGAGGAAATTTTAAGATAGTCTATTTTATTAAGACATTACATTCCTCTTTTCAGACCTATACTAAAGGCCTGCTGGTATTAAAAATTGGATTTTTATGTAAATATCCAATTAAGATTCACTGGCGTTATGAGCAAGACAGACCACAATCATTTCCTTGAGCAATCTCATCTTTGTAAAATAGGAGAATGCATCAATTAACATACATTTTCTATTTCAATGTTTTCTTTCTTTCAGGACAGCAACTATTCAGACTTCCTAATATTCTTCCAAAGGCCTATATATATCAATTTAATAAATTTAGCCTCTTAAAATAATCTCCTGCTTCTGAAAACACATTATTTTATCATTTAAAACCAAAGAAAATCACTTCTCAAACTTTTTTAGCAAGTGCTTAATAACTCGATAAACAATATTTATTAGATTAAAGGTGTTAATTCTACAAAAGGCCATGCTACACCCTTCTGGGTTCCTCGTGTTCTGCTTTCTACACAATACTTGACAACCATGGAAAAAGCTACAGTTTTACAGCACAGCAGCAGACAAATTGCAGTGGTTTTAATAATACTCTATAGCCACACACAAGCAAACTTACTATTCTTCATTGTGTTTGCTCAAAAAATAAAATCTGTCCCAGACTTCTGAATTGTCAAAAGGCTGTCATAAGCAGAAGCTGAGTCCAATGCTGTTAGAAGCCATGATTTTAGCTCACAAAAAATTTCAATCTTTTCACTTAATGTAGGTAAGAGAGTGTCTAAGCTCTGCTCTTAGCTAGGGTCTGCATGCTCTTCTATTTCTGAAATATATAAAGTACATGAAAAAGCTACCTCATAAAAGCAAACTGGGACCTGAATCTTTCATGCAATGCTGCACGCATTCATATGGCAACACAGCAACTAAGAGTGATGCATCTTGTTGGGGTGACTGTTTTTTGGGTTTTTTTTAAAATAAATAAATATATTATAATAGGCACTCATATCCCACCCTGAGAGTAGTTTTCAAGTAGCATATTCCCATGAATCTCATTTTACTCTGTTTCAAGCAGAGATTCCATCCATTAAGATTAGTATTATCAGTCACTTGTAGACAGAAATAATTCTTGAGGATAATTCGGAGAGAAAAA